AGAAAAAAAGTGGGAGGGCCACATTTTTCTCTCCTTGATCACCCAACTACAGCATCCTTTAACAAGCCAATAGAGCGGGTGCCATTTTGGATATACATAACAGCCTCACCAGCTCATTTCCACACCCAGCAACCAAGTAGAGACTCCTAACTCTGATGGGGTGAACTAAGAGGGTACTGAGTGTTCATGACTGTGGGAGGATTGTGTGCTGGGACTGTGAAAAAAACTGAGGCTAAGTGGGAGGGCTCACAGTGTGGATGGGACTTTGGGCAGTCACTGTGTGTGACTCAACATGCTCGGGGTTCCCTGGTGAGGGACATTGCTGGGGAATCTGAGCTTACACTGAGGACTGTGCAGATCTTTTCTGTGGTCTTTGTGGCAGAACGGATGAATATTATACCTTCTGGGCTAGCATTCAGGCACTGGTCTCATTTAAGGAGAGGAGCTCAGCTGAGTAGAATAAACCTCCCCTCTGATTACAAAAAAAAGAGGAGATTTACCACACCAAACCTGGGTGTGTCACCTTAGATATGCCCTTCACCCAGGAGAACTGAACAGAGCTTCCTAGCCACACCCACTATATGACTCCATAAATTCACTGAAAGTAGACACTTCACATAGTACAAAAATAAAAACCACCACAGTGAAAAAACAAAGAAACCAATGAGTATCTCCACAAATTCTGAATAACAAATGCGCCAATTCATGAAAATAGAATAAGCAAGACAATATGATGCCCCTGAAAGAACACAACACTAGATTGTGAAGATGAGACTGAAGAAATGTCAAAAGGGAATTAAAAAAAATCATAAGATTACAGAGAAGTAATCAGAAGCAAATGCACAAACTAAAGAAATCTGAACATGACATGAAAGAAAATTTCTCCCAAGAAATTGAGATATTAAAGAGAAATCTAAATGAACTGAATAATTAAATAGAACAAATGAAAATGTAGTGGAAAGCCTTGACAACAGAATCGATGAAGCAGAAGAAAGAATATCCAACTCAGAAGACAAAGCACAGGAAATTATACAGTCAGATCAAAAAAAGAGGAAATTAGAAAGCTAAAAAACACTGTTGGTAGTCTACAGGATGCCATCAAACAACCCAATATAAAGTTTCTAGGAGTTCCTGAAGGTGAGGAAAGAGAGAAAGGATTAGAAGACCTTCTTAGTGAAATAATAACAGAAAATTTCCCTAATTTGGAGAAAGAAAGAGACATCCAAGTAGAGGAAGCACATACAACCCCTAATATACATGACCAGGAAAGATCTTCATCATGACACATTGAAATAAAACTCACCACAGTAAAATGATAAAGAAAAGATTCTAAAATGTGCATAAGAGAAATGCCAGATTACTTTCAGAGGATCTCCAATTAACTCACAGCAGACTTCTCATCAGAAACCCTACAGGCTAAGAGAGAATAGTGAGATATATTCCAAGTCATGAGAGAAAAAAATCAAGCCAGAATACTATACCTTGCAAAGCTCTTTTATGAATGAAGGTGAAATAAAGGCCTTCCATAACAAGAAGAAATTGAATTTGTCACCACCCCTCCAGCCATACAAAAGATGCTTAAGGATGTGCTGCATAGAAACACAGAAACATGGTCATCATTATGGAAGAAGATAAAGGAAGAAAATCTCCCAGTAAAAGTATAAAGGAAATCCAAAGCAAAAAGTATGAATATTTATGAAAAAATGGCAAGGTAATGTCATTATTTATCAATAGTCACTTTGAATGTAAATAGCTGCATCTCTACAGTTAAAAGACACAGAATAGCTGAATGGATTAAAAAAAAAACACATCTACTTTCTGTCTACAAGAAACACATCAACGGTTCATGCTGACTGAAAGTGAAAGGATGGAAAAAGATATTCCATGCTAACAGAAGCTAAAAAAGAGCTGGTGTAACCATCTTAATATCAGACAAAATAGAGTAATGCAAAAACTATTAAAAGAGGCCGGCGCCCGCGGCTCAGTAGGCTAGTCCTCCACCTTGCGGCGCCAGCACACCAGGTTCTAGTTCCAGTCGGGGCGCCGGATTCTGTCCCGGTTGCCCCTCTTCCAGGCCAGCTCTCTGCTGTGTCCAGGGAGTGCAGTGGAGGATGGCCCAAGTGCTTGGGCCCTGCACCCCATGGGAGACCAGGAGAAGCACCTGGCTCCTGCCTTCAGATAGGCGCAGTGCGCCGGCCGCAGCGCGCTGGCCGCAGCGGCCATTGGAGGGTGAGCCAATAGCAAAGGAGGAGCTTTCTCTCTGTCTCTCTCTCTCACTGTCCACTCTGCCTGTCAAAAACAACAACAACAACAAAAAAAAACTATTAAAAGAGACAAAGAAGGGCACTATGTAATTAAGGGATCAATTCAACAGGAAAATGTAACTATCATAAACATATATGCACCTAATTACAGGGCATCTGGCTATTTAAAAGAAATGCCAATGGCCTTGAAATAATTTCATGATATAAAATAAGTATAAAATTGTGGATATAATTTAATAGATTAGATTATGTCTCAACCAAATTCATATGTTGGCATCATAATATTCAGCAACTCAGAATATAAATTTATTTAGAAATAGGGTTTTTGCAAATGTAAGTACTTAAAATGAGGCAGTTGAGTGTGCCACAGTCCAATTTAAATAAATTTGGAGACCAATCATGCATACAGGAAGGAATCACATGAGGGTGAAGGCAGAAATGAGGACAATGCCTCTACAAGCCAAGAGATACAAAGACTGCCAGCCAGCCTCCATAAGCCACAGGAATGGCATGAGTGTGGAATTCCAGTCTCCAGAACTGTGAGATAATAAATTTTCTTATTTAAGCCACTCTCTTATTAGTTGCACAGTGACTCCTGTGTTATAGCTGTTCTAGTAACCAACACACAAGATATAAATTGACTTTGCCACCAAATTATGTGGGTGGTATATATGTGTGTGATTTTCTTAAGAACCCTTCTCTGGTCACTTTCTCACTGGTGACTCTACCTAAAATCAAAGCTCTCACAACATTTATTCCTTGCTTTATTTTCTCTGCCTGCAGTTATCAATACCTAACTTATCATACTCATGTTTTATTAATTTGTTTTTGCATTACTTTTTCCCCATCAGACTATAATCTCAATGAAAACAATATTTGTGTCTATTTATTCTCCACTGGTTCCACATACTTAGAAAGGTGTCATAAGGTAGACACTCAATATCGAAGAAACAAAATGATTTACATATTTTATCATTACAACCAGTTTAATATATTTTAAACATGAAAGTTAATAATGTAACTTTTCATGAACAATAAAAACAAAGTTGGAGGCATAGGAGTACCAGATTTCAAGACATGCTATAGAGCTACTGTAACCAAAACAGCATAGTATTGGAATAAAAATAAACATACCAACATATGAAATAAAAAGTTGTTTCCCAGATGTAAATCCACACAACTACAGCCAACTTCTCCTTGACAAAAGAACTAAAAAATTACTCTGGAGAAGAGATATTCTCTTGAATAAATGGTGTAGGGAACATATGCAAAAGATTGACATAAGATCCCTCTCAGTTCACACACACACACACACACACACCCCTCATCATACACAAAAAAACTCAAAATTATAAAAAAATCTGTATGTAATACCTAACACTATGAAATCTCTATAAGTAAAAAATAGGGAAAACACTTCGAGACATTGACCTAGGTGGTGATATTCTAGACAAGATCCCAAAACATATGGAATAAAAGCAAAAATAGGCAAATGATATTATATCAAGGTAAGAGGCTTCTGCACAGCAAAGAAACAACCAACAGAGTAAATAGAACCACCAACAAAATGGGAGAAAATATGTGTAAACTAGTCAAGTGATATAGGATTAATATACTAAACATATAAGATCTCAAAAACTCAGCAACAGAGTAGCAATCAATCAAGTTAATCAATGGGCAGAGGATCTAAATAGACAGTTCTCAGAAGAGATACAAATGGCTAACAAATACATGAAACAAATGCTTGCTATCAGTAGTTATCAGAGAAATGCAAATCAAAGCCACTATATCACCCCACTCTAGTTATAATGGCTATTGGTTTTAGATTTTATTTATTTATTTGAAAGGTAGTGTTATATACAGAAAGGGAAAGACAGAGAGAAAGGTCTTCCATATGCTTGTTCACTCCCAAATGGCCATAACGGCTGGAGCTGGGTGGATCAAAAGTCAAGATCCAGGACCTTCTTCCAGGTCTCCCATGCAGATACAGCAGCCCAAGCACTTCGGCTGTCTTCTACTGCTTTCCCAGGCCATAAGCAGAGAGCTGGATCAGAAGTGGAGCAGCCGAGACACGAACTGGTGCCCATAAGGGATGCCAGTGCTGCAGGTAGAGGCTTAGCATATTATACCACCTTGCCAGCCACTAGATTGGCTATTACTAAAAAGACAAAAAATGCTGATGAGGACATGCAGAAAAGAAACCTTTTATACCCTGTTGGTAGAAATATAAATTAATACAACCATTATGGAATGCAGTTGGGAGATTCCTCTAAAAACTAAAAATAAATCCAGGACAGAATTCAGCTATCCCACTTCTGGGTGTATGTCCCAAAGAAATGAAATCAGCATATGAAAGAGATGCTTACATTCTCATGTTTATTTCAGCACTATTCACAACATCCAGGAAGCAGAATCAACCTAAGTGTCCACTGATAGATGAATGGATAAAGCAAATGTAGTATGCATATACACAGAGTATTATTCTTCTATAAAAGAAAATGAAATCTTGATATTTGCAGCAAAATTGGTGAAAATGGATATTGTTATGTCAAATGAAGTAAGTCAGGCACAGAAAGAAAAATATGTATTCTCTCATATGTGAAAGTTAGCTTTGTATATATAATCTGAATTTGAAATAGTGATGACCAGAGGCTGAGAAAGTGGAAGAGGGGACTCAGGAGGGAGGTTGGACAAAACACAATAGGGTGGATGTAACTGGTTCCGGTGTTTTTGCAGCCCAGTGGAAGGACTGCCTCGTGACGACATATACTATTTCCAATAAAGAACTGGAGAAGAGGAGTTGGGAGATTTCAAGCACAGAGAAGAAAAGGAAATGGAAATGGAAAGGCTGGTTTTTAGTATGTTTGGTTAAATTTTTGTTTTATGTTGAAAAATTGCATTGTGCCCCCAAAATGTGAAGTTATTAATGTGAATCCAAACTGTAAATAAATCTTTTGATGTTTTAAGAAACCTTGAGTTTTATTATGCTTACTCTCTTTTGTGCTTGAATGTGCAATACAGTACTAAGACCTAGTTTTGTTAGTTGTCCTGTTCTTTGCTTTTCAAGCAACTTATTTGTTCATATGTTATGTTCTATAGAGGCAAAAGTATACATGTTTATGTGGAAGTTATGGGGAAGTGTTATGAAAAATCCAATAGACTTTGGAATGAAAGCCCTGTTTGCACTCATTAAATGTTATGTATTTGCCATATTTATTCTGATAGGGCTGCAGAATCCCTCATTTATGCACTTAATTATACTAGCCCATGTATACAGACTCTTCCACATAACAGGTGAACTCACTGATAAGTTGTCCTCACTGCTGGCATGAAGCAATCACTGTGCAACACTGAACCAGGTACCCAGTTTGCACTAAGTGATATATACCCACCTCTGGAACATATCAAAATCAGCTGGGATTTTTACAAATACAATCAATCACTAAACAGAGTAGTGTGAGTATTAAATACCATGAAAGAGATACCAACAGAACTATTTGTTAGTCAGAGAGGGTAATCAGAGAGATCATAAAATACTTTATATATTTTCCTACTCAGAATACTTCAGAGGCATTCCAGGACCTTCTGAATGCCAGTCTGGCATGCAAGAAACTTTATTCTCTGATCCCACTCAATTGTGCTTGTAAGATTATGCACCTGATTTGGATGTCAAAAAATGAATTGCAGTGCTCATGAGCTTCCTGCCAAGACCTGGCTCTCTTGTTTCAAGGTCAAAGGTGGAGATAAAGGCCCAGAAATCTGGGTAACATGATATCTCTTAGAATTGCTAAAGCCAAGCTCTTGAAGAGCTGATGCACTGACAATTCCCACTGAGAGCTGGCCTGGATGAGTAGCCAGAACACTAAGTGCAGGGCAATGTGGAGTGAGCAGAGGTAAGGTGAGGTCCAGGTAGCTTGGAAGAAGCTCAGCAAGTCTGAGCTCAGCCTGTAGTTGCATTTCTCTCATGTGGGGCTTGGTTGACTCCTTATTGATTTACAGCGTGGTCTTGGAACGACAGGACCATTCCTGAAAAGTTCCTGAGAGGACCTATTATTCAAGGATATGTCCGGGTTTGAATTCCTGTTTGAAGCCTTCTACAACTACACTCATCAGAAGCAACTCCTTCTTTGGTCTTCTCCTAGATCTGTATACAAACCATCAATACTGCACTAACTTGTGCACACATTTGAATCCCACTGAACCGTGAGTTCCTTGAGACTAAGAACACATGTATATGTTTATTATTTTCCTTGCTATCTGGCAATCAGCTTCTGTGCTTAGTAACTCTTTGGAGTAGGACTGAATGCATAGCAATTTCCTGGGGTTATTTTCTTTTTTTGAAAAATATTATTTGATGTCATCTATTGAAATTGTTTGGTTTTATAAAATGGAAATCTACTGAAATAAACTCATAAAAAGGAGGTTTATTAGGATGCAAGGGAATCTCATGGAGCGTAATTGCAAATGTTATAGTCTGGGTTTAGAGAAGTGAGTGTTTCCAGCCTCCTGTCTACATTCTTCTTTTCCTGACAACGTGTGATTCTCTCTAGGCCATCAGCTTTTAAGTTCTATTCTCCCTTAAAAATCTCTCAAGCAAGTTTCTGTTTTCCTATTGCTTCAACTGATGTCTACCTTGTTGTGAGACAAATTTTGATCCCAATTTAGCACAATTGTACAGGCCCAGGACACACGACCATCTCACTAACTCCAATTTCTGTAAATATTTTAAAATTTGTGAGGGAATGAATGACTGACTTCTGAGTAAAAAATTCAGAGCCTCCAAGTATGATAAAGATCACTATGAGTGCCAGTGCTGTGGCATAGAGGGTAAAGTCGCCTCCTGCAGCTGCAGCATTCCAAATGTGCAAAGGTATTCTGACGGCTCCACTTCCAATCCAACTCCCTTCTAATGTGCTTGAGAAAACAGCAGAAGATGGTCCCAGTGCTTGTGCCCCTGCACCAATGTGGGAGACCTAGAAGGGGCTCTGGGCTCCTGGCTCCTGGCTTCATTGGTTCTGCTATGGCTGTTGTGGCCATTTAAGGAGTGAACCAGCGGATGAAAGACCTCTCTCTCTCTCTTTCCTGATCTCTCTCTCTCTCCTGCTCTCTCTCTGTAACTCCAACTTTCAAAGAAATAATTAAATCTCTTTTAAAAAGATTATATGCCTTCCACATATATACCAAAAAATAATTCTGAACAATGAAATAAGTGAGAAAGTCTACAACATTTTGATTTTTCTCCCTGATGACTACTTTGACATATTTTTAAAAATCTGTCTTTTTTTTTTTTTTTTTTTTTTTTACAGGCAGAGTGGACAGTGAGAGAGAGACAGAGAGAAAGGTCTTCCTTTTGCCGTTGGTTCACCCTCCAACCGATGCACCGCGCTGATACGATCGCAGGAGCTAGGTGCTTCTCCTGGTCTCCCATGGGGTGCAGGGCCCAAGGACTTGGGCCATATTCCACTGCACTCCCAGGCCAAGCAGAGAGCTGGCCTGGAAGAGGGGCAACTGGGACAGAATTTGGTGCCCTGACCGGGACTAGAACCCGGTGTGCCAGCACCGCTAGACGGAGGATTAGCCTATTGAGCCACAGCACTGGCCTCTCTAATAAATATTTCCAAAAAAATTTTGGGTACTCACAAAAAATAGTATATAAATATATATGTACACATATAATGCCTACACTTGAAGTGAATGTGGCAAAATGTTAAAAAAGCAAAATTTTTAAAATTAAGTAAATTTTAAAAGGTAAAAAATAAATTAATAAAATAAACAACTTTTAATTTCATTGCTTTTTTCTATTGTTTTTGTAGTCTATTATCATTCATTCCTGTTCTAATTTTTATTATTTCCTTCTTTTAACTAACTTTGGGCTTAGTCTTGTTCTTCCTTTTCTAGTTCCTTGAGGTATATTATTAGGTTGTATATTTGAGATCTTTTTAATTGTTTATCTTTGATGTAAGCATTTGTTGTTGCAAGCTCCCCTCAGAATTGCTTTTGCTTATCTCATAAGTTCTGCTATGTTGTGTTTCCATTTTTGTGTGGCACAAGATATTTTTAAGTTTTTCTTTTAATTTCTTCTTTGACCCATTTGTTGCTCAGGAGCGTATTGCTTAATTTCTCTGTACAATCAGCTCTCCATATCTGTGAGTTCTGCACCCAAGGATTCAACCAAGGATGGGTCAAATATATTCAGAAAAACTACTGCATCTGTAATGGACATGCACATATTTTTTCCTGTAATTATTCTTTAAGAAATATAGTATAACAACAATTTACACAGCATTTACATTGTATTCCATGTTATGGTAATCTAAAATTTGAAGTATATGGGAGAGATGGGCATTTGGCGTGAGTGTTAGAACCCCCACTTGAGACATATTCCATATTGGAGTTCCAGCTCTGCTTCCAAGTCTACCTTCTTGCTAATGCACACATGGCTCAAGTGATTGTGTTCCTGCCACCTGCATTGAATTCAGTTTGGTAATCCTGCTTTAAGCTTGGCCCAGTCTTAGCTGTTGTGAGCATTTTGAAGTGAACCAGTAGATGGAAAATCTCCCTGTTTCTGTCTCTGTGTCTGTCTGTGTATATGTGTGTGTGTGCGCGCACGTGCACACGCATGTGCCTGCCTTTCAAATAAAAACAATAAATCGTTTTTAAAAAATATATTGGAGTATGTGTATAGGTTACATGCAAATATCTGCATATATACATTCTATATAAAGGAATTGAGCATCTGTAGATTTTGGTATCTGCAGAGGATCCTGTAAACCATCCCTTGCAGATACTGAAGGATGACTGCATTTGTGAGTTTCCAAAGTTGTTCCTGTTAATTTTTTTATTTTTGTTAATATAAAGAGAACAAATTTCATGTGTTTCATAGGTACAATTCTAAGAAGATAACCATACTTTCCTCCCTCTCCATCCCCCTTCCCTAAAACTCCGTCTTCCCTCCCTTCTTTTTTTATTAATTTTTGCAAAGACATAATTTTGATCTAGTCTATAATCACAGGTTTAATTCACTGTTAACCATAATATTCAGCAAGTAAATAGTAGGAAGACCACAATTCCACGGGAATATAAACAGCATCATTGAATTCTGGTTTCATATCACTATAATCAGAAGTGATACTTCATGATTTTAATATTCTTAAATTTGTTAAGACTTGTTTTGTGTCCTAACATCTACTTTATCACGGATATATTTCATGTGCAATTGAGAAGATTGTGTGTTCTGTTGCTTTTGAGTGGAATGCTCTGTTTAAATTTGTTATGTTCGGCCGGTGCCACGGCTCACTAGACTAATCCTCCGCCTTGCGGCGCTGGCACACCGGGTTCTAGTCCTGGTCAGGGCGCTGGATTCTGTCCCGGTTGCCCCTCTTCCAGGTCAGCTCTCTGCTGTGGGCAGGGAGTGCAGTGGAGGATGGCCCAAGTGCTTGGGCCCTGCACCCGCATGGGAGACCAGGATAAGTACCTGGTTCCTGCCATCGGATCAGTGCGGTGCACCAGCCGCAGCGCACTGGCCGCTGGGGGTGAACCAACGGCAAAAGGAAGACCTTTATCTCTGTCTCTCTCTCTCACTGTCCACTCTGCCTGTCAAAAAAAAAATTTGTTATGTTCATCTGATCTAAAGTTAATTTAAGTACAAAGTTTCTTTATTGATTTTTGGCTTAACAATCTGTCAGCACCTGAAAGAGGAGTACTACAGTGTCTGAATGAATAAAGAAAATGTAGTATATAAATGCACATTGGCATACTTTTCAGCCGTAAAAGCTAAGGAAATTGTGTCATTTGCAATAACATGGATAAATCTGGAGGACTCTATGTTAAGTGAAATGAGTCAGATTCAGAAATAAAATGCCACATGATCTCACTTACATGTAGAATCCTGAAAAGGTAAGCCCATAGAAGCAGAGTAGAATGGTGATTACCAGGGGCTCAGGGCTGTGGGTGAGGAGGTGGGGAAATGT